GACAATACCGGTTTCACGGATCTCCTCAAACACGAACGCTGACGGGAGACGGCTGCGGAGCAACCATTCAGGGTACTTACGAAGTGTCCCCCAGTTCTGGAAAAGATTGAACAAAACGATCCAGGGACAACCTCGCCAGTCCTCCGGTGGTCACCTCCCCTCTCCCCCGCTAGTGTCCCAGCTTCCGACGCCCTGTAGTCCCCAGCATTTACGGAGGGCCACTTTCACGACAGTGGCAGTGTGGCCAATTCATTCTCTGTAAATGCTGGGACACTGTGGATGCCCCCACACACCTGAATGCTCATCATTTCCAAAAATGTCCTTTGGTTACTCTGCTCCGTCGAAATCACAATTTTATGCTCAGCTGTTTAATCTTTATGATACTTTTCACTTTCAGTTACATTTGACATCATACATCTTTGTTTGCGCAATGGTGCAATAAACCCCTGGATCTATGTTGACGTTTCTGTAACTTAATCACCCAAGCTGTCCCCGCCGCCGCCGTCTCTTCTCAGTCCTGCAATGTGACAATGCGCCTGGCTCTTGATGAAATCAGAGTCACGAGTGACCGAGTTCCACGCCGGCGCCACCACTACCACTACAAATCGAAAAGAAGTGATTCTCATCTACACGACTGTGTCCCCATTTGTTTTTCGACAGAGAAGTTATTTTGCTGCCGCTACTACATTGCCAGTGGTGCAGAAACACGAACGACGACAACTCGATACGTTCTGTGCTAATAACACCGTGTGGCCTTTAAAATAACAAAATCATAAGTAATAGGTGACCCTTTCGGACAATGACATTTTTTATCTTACCTATAAATGTTATTTTTTGTCTGTCCATGTGTCTGTCTGTGTGTCTGTGGACGAAACTTGTGAAGGATTTGGCTTGTGAACCGTGGGGTTTACGTTTAAAAAAAAGTAGCCAGGTACTACGCGATAAGCCCCGTGGTGAGCCAGCGCTATTCTGATTTTGCATCCGTCAACTTTAAAGTAGTTTAACCATGTATAATTATTATTTATGTATTTCTTTACACGCCAAAGCACGCGCATGCGTGACAAATCTGACCGGGGGTCGTTGGGAGGGAGTGGAAAAGTCTCTTTCACGTAAAAAATGCAAAAAAAATGCACAACGCTGAGGTAAATTCTTCAAAGTGTCATGTCCTCTTCTCCCCCTCAACCCTAATGTGTGAGGGCATCGGCAGGAAAGAGCTGGATGACGTCATAGGGTGACGTCATGCTACCCAGAGGGGAAGGGGTACTTAAGGGGGACCCCGGGCAGAGGGGCAGGGTCGTTATGGGGAGCCGAGGGTAACGGAGGTCTCGAGATAACGGAAGACACGCCGAACGGAAGACACGCCGCTCGGCACCGAGACCCAAGGCCGAGGAAAGAGTAGGATTAGTGGGAAGCTTAGGTGAGGATAGGCCGAGGAGTTAAGCGTGTACCGGGACGGTCCATGGGAAGGACCAAGTGTAGAAGTGTCTACCTCTGGTGTGATCCGGTGATTCTGTACATGAGTGTAGTAGTTAATAAACTGGCAAATAGCCCTTACAGAGAATCTCGTCTCCGTGTGAGTTTACACCACTACACTACTATAGGGTAGGTAGATACTAATATTACAGCGCTTGTATAGTATTTTTGTAAGAGCGGGCAGGGGGATTGTGAGGGAGGGCGAGGGTAGCGGCCCAGCCTTAGCCTGCTAAGGTGCCACCTCGGCCGGCTGCGCTATCTAGGCGAGGCTGGGGGCTCTGCACGAGATTGGCCTCACGACGGCACTCTGTCAAGTTAGTAGTTTGTGCTATAGAGTCGATATATACTGCTATAGAGTCGGCATGTACTACCGTAGTGATAGCAGGTACCACCACAGTCAGTATGCACTGCTGTAATCATAGAAGGTACCACCACAGTCAGTATGCACTGCTGTAGTGATAGCAGGTGCCACCACAGTCGGTATGCACTGCTGTAGTGATAGCAGGTATCACCATAGTCAGGATGCACTGCTGTAGTGAAAGCAGGGACCACCACAGTCATTATGCACTGCTTTAGTGAAAGCAGGTACCACCACAGTCGGTATGCACTGCTGTAGTTAAAGCAGGTACCACCACAGCAGTATGCACTGCTGCAGTTAAAGCAAGTACCACCTCGGCAGTATGCACTGCTGTAGTGAAATCAGGTACCACCAAAGTCGGTATGCACTGCTGTGGTCATAGCAGGTACCACCACAACCAGTATGCACTGCTGTAGTCATAGCAGGATACCACCACATTCAGTATGCACTGCTGTAGTGAAAGCAGGTACCACCACAGTATGCACTGCTGTAGAGATAGCAGGTACCACCACAGTCGGTACGCACTGCTGTAGTGATAGCAGGTACCACCACAGTATGTACTGCTGTAGTGATAGGTACCACCACAGTCGGTATGCACTTCTGTAGTGATAGTAGATACTACTATCGTGTTGGTAGATTCTACTATAGAGTTAGTCGATACTAAAACAGTCAGTATATACCACTACAGTCAGTAAATACTCCTACGGTCAGTAGATACTGCTATACAGTCAGTAGATACTATTACGGTCAGTAGCTACTGCTATAGTTAGTAGATACTACTATAGAGTCAGTAGGTACTACTATAGAGTTAGTAGTTACTACTATAGAGTCGGTAAATAGTACTGTAGGGCCAGTAGATACTACTTCGGTCAGTAGTTACTATAGTCAGTAAATACTACTATACAGTCAGTAGCTACTACTGGCTCAGTAGATACTACTGTACAGTCAGTAGATACAACTACAGAGTCAGTTGATACTACTTACTCTGTTGTATGTAGGGTGTGTAGGTATATATATATACACGGGGGTAAAAATATTTTTTGAGGGGGGGGTCGACAATTTTCGGAAACCTTTTAGATCAACTAAATTTGCCCCACACTTTCTATCACTTTTTGGACTTCTGCAAGCCTCTTATAATTCTGTTGGTGGAGAAATGGACAAACGGCCCACCGGGCTTTCACAATAGCTTAGTATCTGTGTATGTATATGTAATGTTTTTAATAGAAGTTTTGAAATACAGATAGGCCCCGAGTTACGATGGTTCGACTTACGATATTTCGATCTTACGATGGCGATAGCGATACAACAAAATTTGTAAAATATTTTAAATTTTGCGTGGCAGGCAAACGCAGCAGCGAACGAGATACGTTCAATGCATGTATGATACGTAGCTTTAACGATTTCATTTTAGGGTTACCACGATACGATACGTTCAATGCATGTTAAAAGTTTTTATAGCAGATAGGATTGTTTCCTGAAAAAGCTTTCTATTAAGTTGCAGTCCATATAGGTAGCCTTAGAATTTACCTTGTTTTTTTACTTTACATTTTACTGTGCAATACAGTATTGTAATTAATAAATACATACAGTATATAGTTTATACAGTACGGTACTGTAAATTGCTCTGTTTTGCTAAATTATCACCATTCTTTAAGACTCCTGGGTAGGCTAAGGCCATCATCGACTTACGATATTTTTGACTTGCGATGGGGTCGTCGTAACGCATCTCCATCGTAAGTAGAGGACTACCTGTATATTTTTCGCCCAGGCAACGCCGGGTACTTCCCGCTAGTGTATTGTTTGTTATTTCGCCAGGTAAGGCCCACTGAGCTACCTAGCTCTTTTTCAGGGAGTGACTTGGCCCGCAAATGATAACTCAACAAAGTGGCTTATCATGTTGAAATGTATAGCAGCCAAAATACCCTAAATACTCGTGAAGTTAATTAAAAATGTAGAGGGAAAAACCGGAGGACCTGGAGAAAAATCCAATCGACCACGGGGAGAGAGACGCACCTACTCTAAATAAACAGCAGGCATCAGGGTAGAGATCGAACCCACGACCTCCTGCATACCAGGCAAGGTAGTTAACATCTCGCCAACCGTGGCGCCCATGAAGAAGGACCATTGCCTGAAACATTGCCTATTATATATTTTTGGCGAGTGACATTTAAATCATCAGTCCTTTCTCCCCCTCCTTTGACCAACCTCCACTAACCGACGGCGGTGAAGTATGGTCACACAACCCATACGACTCGCACATTGTGGGGAGGCCTTCATCCAGCAGCGTACTGACAAAGAGCTGTACATTACTATCATGAGCTTAAGGAATCAATATTCATCGCCGAGTTGAGTCACCTAATCTGTGCCATCTGCAGCTCGGCATTATTCCTAGAGTAGGGGCTAACGGGGTTTTTTTTTTGGGTAGATGTCAAAATCCAGGCACCTGCCATTTGTGGCAGAGCTCCCACGTCACCGTCAAAAGGATTTCGTTCAAATCCTGGTCCGTGATTGACTCAGCCCATCAGCTCTTCAGGGTCGATTAAAGTGCATGAACACTTCCAGCAGCCTTTCACGCCAAGCCCGCTTCGTTTGGTTAATTGTCCCTGCGTGCACCTCTGTTTCTCTGCACACTTATAAGCATAACTTGGATTGTTGTTTGTGTGATCCATACCAGGTAAATGCACACCGAGTGGTTTTGAATTGTAACGATGCGCTGCATCGCCGATATTAAATTTCTACTTCCCACTGGTTCCGAAACTGCCATAAGAGTTGCTGTTGGTGGTGATCACTTTTTTAGTCACTATGCCCCCTCCTACGCAGGCAACTCCGTGTGGTCCCCCCTGCTCTTTGATTTCAAGTCTCTACTCGAGACCTTCCCCTTCAACCGCCGTACCTTCGGACCCCCTTAATTACTTCATTTCTGTGAGTGGGTGAGTGGGTGAGGTGGGTGAGTGACTGATTAGGTGGGTGAATGAGTAGGTGAGTGAACGATTGAGTGGGTGGGTGAGTGAGTGGGTAAATGATTGGGTGAGCGCATGAGTGAGTGTCTGGGTGAGTTGCTTACTTTTTCACCTGCTCGCTCCCCCATTGCCTCCCGCCCTTCCTCTATTTCCACACTCCCGAGACGTTTATGTTTTGGCGCTTCACAAATGTAGGTTGTATCTTTCAGGAAGAAGTCGGGTGAAGCGGATATGAACGAGGTGATGGCTGCGATGGTGCTCAGCAGTCTGTCGACCAGCCCTCTCGTGCGGAGCCCTCCCGGCCTCTCTGGGCCTCCTGGCCTTTCCGGTATGATGGCCGCGGTGCCAGTTGGTCACCAGCAAACATCATCACCATCATCGCCATCACCATTTTTGCACCTCCGATTAGCACTTCCAGTTGGCTACGTACGATGCGTTCGTACATACGTCGCCCTCATCAATGTCGTCATCACCATACTTCACCTTTCCCCCTTACCCCCCCCATCTCTCGGTTCTCCAGCAGACGCCCAGTCGTGGCACAATGCGGCTGTGTCGGCGGGCATGGCCGCCGTCTGCGGCGCCGACCTCGCCGCCAGCTTCGGAAGCAGCAGCGGCATCTGGAGCTGGGATCTCCCCAGCGATCGGTCCAACCCCTCCACGCCCTCGCCCCCCCTTCCCGGGGACCCCATCCCGCTAAGTGGCGCCCCCCTCGGCAACGCAGTCACCTTTGCCGCCGCTGCTCCTCCGCAGAGCACCGCTCCGTTCACCGCGGCCGCCGCCGGTGCATTCGCAGCCGCCCCCTTCCCCGTCCGCCACGGCGTCGCCACCGAACTGGCCCGGAAGGACCTGGACTTTTCCCGCGGCGACGTCGGTGTGGAGGGCCGCAAGGAAAATGCCGCCGCTGCAGTTGCCGCCGCCAATGCGGCTGAATTGCAGAGTGGCGCCAACCCAAACCTTGACGCCGCCAACCCTGCCCACAAAAAGAAGCCCTCCGGCAGCGTTGGCGGTGGCATCGGCTGTGGTGGTGGTGGCAGTGGAGTGAAACCGGGCTTCAAGCTCGGCTCTTTGTCCATTCCCACCACCACCGAAGTCCCCGGTCCCTTCGACTTTGACTGCCTATCATCATCTCTGTCGTCCGCTTCTCCACCGTCGCCGCAGTCCCCGCCGGCACCGGCACCACCGGACGGCGTGTGCCTAAAGCGCGCGGCCCTTTCCCACGTCTACTCGTCGCAGCTGGCGCAGCTGATGGTGCAGCCGGAGGGCGGCGGAGGCGGGCGCGGGCACGGCGCCGCTATCGGCGAGGCTGCTCGTCCCGGTCGCCATGAAGGCGTCGCGGTGGGGGGGAACTGCGTCGGCAAACTGGCGCAGGAGGCCAACCGCGGCGGTACAACGCCGCCCGCTCCCGTGAGCGCGCACCACCCGGCCCTCCCGTCCTCGAAGCCCATGAGCGTCCCCGCGAGACGCGGGGTGGCGCGGGGACCGGCTCCTGATGGGCCCGACGGAGCCGGGGCCGCCGGTGCCGCCGTGGCGTTTTCGGACGACGGGCACGACGGACACGCGGCTCAGAGCGAGCTGCTGTTCGAGGAGCCGTCACCGCGCAAGCGCAAGGTACAGCGGTGCGGAGCAAAGCGCCCCTCATCTCGGGGTGGTGAGGGGCGGAGGCGAGGGGGGGGCGTTACAAAGTTGATTTCTGTCTTAGCTGCGAAACAATTGGACAGCCCTGGGGTGACGCGGTGGCAAGATGTTAACTACCTCGCCCAGCATACAGGAGGGTGTGGGTTCGATCCCGATCCTGATGCCTGCTGTTATATTTGGAGTTTGTGTGTGTCTCTCTCCCCATGGTCGCGTGGATTTTTCTCTGGGTCTTCCGGATTTTCCCTCCACATTTAGAAACATGCCTTTAAAGTATTTGGCTGCTATAAATGTCCACGTGATAATCCACTTCGTTGAGCTATCATTTGCGGCAAGGTTGCTTCTGAAAAAGAGATATATAGCTCAGTGGGCCTTACCTGGAATAGTATTAGTTATAATCCAACCCATGCCTTTTATTGAGATTTGTGTTCAAGTAATTTGGTGTTGATTATTTACCGAGCGACTTTCTGGATGTTTTTCTACATTTTCTGACTTGCTGGAATATACCCTGCTGATGATGCTTGACGCCATTTCCAACGAAAAGTCATTTACCCGATTTTGGTTATGAAAATTGTCCCTCAGTTTACCCGCGAACCGGAACGATAATAAATTGGCGCGTTTAAAAAAAAAGACTCTTACACAGGTAACATTCATTTGTTTGGCTGGTGGATGGTCTTAACGACACGAATTTGGTCAAATCCTTATGTGGCCTAACCCAAAAAAGGTGCTTGATAGACTTCGGCTCGTTCAGAATGCTGCTGCTAGAATGCTTTACGTGAACACCATTTCGTGAGCACATCACAAACCCGTTCTCTTTTCCTCTTGCATTCACTACCAATCAAATATCGAATTGATTATAAGGTCTTGCTATTGACCTACAAGGCTGTCAATGGGTTAGTCCCACATTCCTTAAAGGAACTGATCCACTTCTATACACCAATGAGTTCCTTGAGATCTTCTTATCTCCTTATATAAGTATTCCGAGGTCAAGGCTCCGCTCCTGGGGTGTTCGGGGCTTTTGCCAGTGCAGCTCCAAGACTACAGAACGCGTTTGCCTCGTTATAAGGCAATCGGAATCTTTAGTGCTATTTAAATCTGCCCTGAAAAATCACCTCCTTAAAATGGCCTTTCCCCCATAGTTTTGGTTGGTTGTTTACGCCGGCTCTGTCTTCCTGCTTTCCATACACGGCTCATTGGGATCCTTGAATGAAATGTGCCTTACGAACGTAGATTATTATTACGAGTTGTAGTAAACATTGTGTCTGGCATCCCACGCCAGGCTGTTGAGGGTTAGCGTGAGGAGAAAAAGACTGGGGGAGAGACGCGGGAGTAGCCAAGCCCATGAAGCATCATACAGTGGGGGGGGGGGGTAGTGGGCAGTGACACGGCTAAGCTGTAGCGCTCGACGCTTCATTGTCGGCGTTCGTCGCTTCATTGTCGGCGTGTGTGATTGGAGCCTAGCGGGCCACCCTCGTTAATACCTGTGGGATTATCGGACCAAAAAAAAGATATGCCGTCTCCTTGACAGCAGACGAAACAAAATTCCACAAAGACACGCGAGAGAGAGTAGTAGTAGTAGGCCACGTGTGCCGGTGTCACGGGCCACATTTGCACATTTTAAATATTACTCCTAAATTACTGGATTGGGTAAAAGCAACATCGCCCCCTACTGCGAAATGACTGTAGACCATACGTGTCTGTGAAACATAGCAGCGTCGTGACAGCCTTGCGCTCTAATAAAATGTGTATGTTGAACTTCTTTCGTACGTAGCCAACCATGCTAATCGGAGGTGCGGGGGGAAAGACAACAAACTAAACACAAGCACAGTTCTAAAGATATTAGTTCGTCAATCTAGATGATTTAGAAGTGCACAGCTCCAGTGGCTTCCTAATATTGGAAGGAAGAGTGTTCCAGATGGCCGCAGAAAAGCGTGCATATTGAACGTACAGGCGCTCCTTGACATACGCAATAGGTGAGTTCCTTGAAAAGCGCGCGTATCCCAAGATTGCGTATGTCAAAATAAATGTTCCCATAAGAAATTATTGTAAAGGGAGGCGGGTTAGAGGATTTCACTTGCAGATATAATCGCCTCAATTATCCTACCCTATATCAATACATTACATGTACACACAATATAATACTTTTAATTAGAAATAAAATCATGTAAACTCCAATATAATTCCCATAAAATAAAAACATAAATAAATAAATACAGAATTACTTAATGTAACTACGCCGCAGCCGCGTTGTGGAGAGGATGCTGTACAGTAAAGCACACGAGTTATAGTACCGCACTGGCTACTGGCAACACCATTGGGTCGCGGTGCCAGGCCAGGAGTGGCGCGTACGTCTCATTGCGGGATGACGTCATTCCGGAAATTGTCTCGCGCATGACGATAAAAGGTCTGAATACAAAGCGTACGTTATTCCAAAATGGCGTACCACAAAAGCGTGTAAACCGAGGATTGCCTGTACCGATGTTTTCAAAATGGGGGATGTTGGCTTTTGTGTCGCCAGAACTCAATGAAGGTGATGTTCAAGTGCATGTGGCCAAACTGTGAAAAGGTCCTGAGCACCTCGTCTGGGATACAACGACACATCCGCACCATCCACTTGGGGTGAGTGAGCGAGCGAATGAGCGAGCGGGGGAGATGGGGGAGAGAGGAAGGGATTTCTGAAGCGAGTGAGCGAACGATCAATTGAGTGAGCTAGCGAGTGAGTTCGCGAGTGAGTGAGTTGGCGAGCGAGTGAATAAGTGCATAAACCTGCTTTTGCAGGGCTTACGGAAGGGAACAGGGACACACGGGACATTAGTCGTGTTTGCATGGTCGATCGTGCGCACGCACACTTTTTATACATGCTTTGTCGCTACACCGTACGTACCCGTCATCCCTGCTGTGTCCGCACACATACGTGCACACAGCCGTAACGGTGACTCGGATCTCAGCGACGGTGAGGAGGACTTCTACTACACGGAGGTGGAGGTGAGCGTGGAGTCCGTGACCGACGGCCTCAGCAGCCTGTCGGCCGTGTCGCCGACCGTGTGCCACCTGCCCTCGGCGGTGGCGCCACCTCACCCACACCACCACAGCAACAACAACCACCACAACAACAACCACCCGCACCACCTGCAGCAACTGCAGCAGCAGCAGCATCAGCAGCATCAGCAGCAGCTGCAGCACCGCGGAGATGGCCGTGGCGTCCTGCCGCTGAGCCATTCGGCGCCAACAGCAGCCGCATTCTGGCACGTGCGTGCCGATCACGCGTACCAGGTGTGTGGCGAGCTGTGGGTGTCAGCTGTGTGTGTGTCTGTGTGGGTGCGTGTCTATGTGTGGCGAGCTGCGTGTGTGTGTATGTCTGTCTGTGTAGGTGTCTGTGTGTGTACGTGTCTGTGTGTGGCGAGCTGTGTGTCTGGGGAGCACTAGTGTAGTGATTAGCGGGCTGCGCTGAGAACCTGGCGACCCGAGTTCGATTCCCGCTCACGACCAACACCAGTGACGATTGTCTGAACCGGTCCTGGGCCTCCCCTTGGTAGACTCAGCCTCCTATGCGTACCTGGTGCGGTGTGTAAACATCGCTACTGGGGAGACAAAGGCGGTCGGGCGTAGTGCTTGGCCACACACCCACCCCCTCGTATGCCATGTCGGCCTTCATAGGTGCTCGCTAACGGCACTTGCCCCAACAGTCTGGTAAGGCTTATATGGGGGATCTTTGTCTTTATATGTATGTACCTATGTTGAACTTCTTTCGCACCATGCATAGCCAACCGTGCTAATCGGAGGTGCGGGGGTAGGACAACAATCGACACCCACTTATGTGGGATGTTTGGGTGAGGAGTGGTAGCGCAATGGTTAGCTCACCGCGGCTACGAATCCATAACCCTCGGTTCGATTCTCGCCCATGGCCATCACTGGTGACGAATATCTTAACCGATCCCGGCTCTCCCCAAGGTCGACTCGGCCTTAAATTAGGACCAGGTGCAATGTTTAAACATCAGCGGTGGGGAGACAAAGACGGATGGGTGTGGGGCTGTGCACGCCACTCCTTTGCGCACCGCTAGAGCTATGCACTTGAAAATCTAAATTGAAAATAATTTTTTTAGAACTGCTTTCTGTGTTTAGCTTGTTGTCCTTCCCCCGCACCTCCGATTAGCGCGGTTGGCTACGCACGGTCCGAAAGTTTAACACGTACGTACATATCGGCCTTAATAGGTGTCAATTAACAGCACTTAGCCCAACGGTCTGTGTCGGCTACACGGGGAAACTTTTTTCGTGATGCAGTGGTCTGGCTCACCACTGGGTGGTGTACGTGAGTTCCATGTTTTGCCTTTGTCGCATTTTAAAACTCAACTCATAATCTCACTTTACGTCTCATCTCATTTAACCATCTCTCTCACCCGACCTCTCATCTCACTTGACCCCGAATCTCATTGTGTATTCCCCTGGTCTCTCCCGTACGTTCCTGACCTGTGACCCCTGATCCCTCAGGCAACGCCCCCCTTGTCGGTCCCAGTGGGCGAATCTGGTCGCGGTGTTGGCATGAGTCTCGGCAGCGTCTCCTGGCAGAGTCCTCCCTTCAGCTCACCCGTACAGGTACGGCTCTCTTCTCCTACCACGCGGTGGTAGTTTGCGTTGCTGCAGAACACCGCGTTGTATGGAAAATTCCTGTTATAATACATAATATAGGGTGTCAAGCACTGTTCCGCGATAACGCGTGGGATGTGTAACGCAGGCTGATTAAAGACTGGCGCCTGGGTAGCGTCTAGAAGCATCCAGTAGCATCCTGATGCCTTATGCGATGCTACCGTACGACCGCTTATTCCTACTCGCTGCGACCTAGTTCCGTTCACTCAACAGCGTTATATCCATTATGAGACCTCCTTTGCCAGTAACAAGATATAGGAATAGGTTTTACCCTTTTAACTGGCACAAAAAACTGACACCTTTATTCAAGGCATCATGTTTGCAATAACCACAACACAAGCAGTCAAAATGCAACAAAAAAAGACAACTCTGATAATAATATGCACTGTCCTTGAATTTGATTGGTCCACACCTGAGACGGCTTTGCTTAGAGCCTAGTCTCCTTTGGTGTTGGACCAGAAGACGCCAAAAGGCGTACAACTCAAAAACAGCGCACTATCAGAGTATTGAGGGCTCGGGGTGAGCATTTACATTATGAGACCTCCTTTGCCAGTAAATATGCTCACCCCGAGCCCTCAATACTCTGATAGTGCGCTGTTTTTGAGTTGTACGCCTTTTGGCGTCTTCTGGTCCAACACCAATGGAGACTAGGCTCTAAGAAAAGCCGTCTCAGGTGTGGACCAATCAAATTCAAGGACAGTGCCAATATTATTATCAGAGTTGTCTTTTCTTTTTTGTTTGCATTTTGACAGCTTGTGTTGTGGTTATTGCAAACATGATGCCTTGAATAAAGGTGTCAATTTTTGTGCCAATTAAAAGGGTAAAACCTATTCCTATAGCGTTATATCCAATTCGCATCCTCGTAATAAAAAATGCGTTCCCTAATGCATTCAACGCGCTGCGTCCAATTCGCGTTATGAAGACAACATGTGGCGTTAGAGGAGAACGTGGACTGTGCTCTGAGAACTCGGCGCCACCAGCTCATACAATGTTTTCCGCCTCACCTCACCCCCCCCCCCTCACTGGTGTCCTCAAAGGAAAAAAATATCATTCAAATCGTTGAGTACGCTTTGGTGTAGTGAGCCATCATTTGTTTACAGCGCGAGTCAATCGTCGCCGCCTGCGGTAGTTTCAGAGCAGGGGTTGATGTCGCTGTTGGGTGTAATTCCAAACAGTAATTTTGCGGGTCAGTTTTACGGTTTTTCCCCTTCACATTTAGGATCGACATCATGCGTTTAGAGTACTTGCCTGCTACAAATGTCCACATGATGATAGGCCACTTCGTTGAGCTATCATTTGTCCTAACCAGGTCGCTTCTTAAAAAAAATCTGTATAGCTCAGTGAGCCTTACCTGGTACGTAAAAAAATGTTTAGTTTTAGTTAACTTCGACTTTGTCCAATTTGGACCATGGCGCCCAGCACATAATGGCCATCGTTGTTTCAAAATGACGTTGGGGGATCTTTTGAACGTCCACCAAAGTGCATGGCGTGCATTTAACGGTTAATACGCCAGCAGCAGTAACCAGCCTCACTGGGTCTAAACACTTATTTTTAAAGGAGGCTCATGCTAAGTTTTTTTTTGCAGTTGCCGTGCTTAATTCTCAGCGAGCAATTTGCTGGTAACTTTTCAGCATTGGGGACACTTGGCCAATACCAGTTACAATGTATGTTTTTTTTATGAACTGGGAAGAAACCGGAGAAACCTGGAGGAAACCCATGCAGAACAAAGGTAGAGAGAATATAAAACTCCACACACACACACAGGGCGCGTGAGTCAGGAATCCAACCCAGAGACTTCTTGCTGCGAGGCGCAAGTTGCTACCACTGTGCTGCCACCCCCCCTGCCCATGTTGTTGTTGTTGTCATGTTCCGTGTTTATCTCCACGGTATCTGCATGGCATTTCCGGTGCTGTTTGGGGATGCAGGTATCGCCGACGCGCCCGCGCGTGGCTACGGTTGCCGAGCACCGCCTGCAACATCACCACCACCACCACCACGCGCACCACCCCCATCACCCACATCACCCCCATCACCCACATCACCCACATCACGCCGCCTCGCCCAAGGCCCACGTTCTACTCTCCTGCTCGCCCAAGTCTGGGCCTGGTGTCAGGTGCGTTCCCCCTTGTGGCTCTGGTTTCAAGTTGATTTTGTGTAACTGGGTGAGCGAGAGCTCTGAGAGACCAGAGATGAATCTCAATTGCAAGAGTGACCTGTGGGGGTCAGTGGGTGAGTGTGTAAATTAATAAGTGGGTATGGAGTGGGTGGGTGATTGATTGATGGAGTGGGAGAGAGTGGATATGTAAGTCAAGTCAAGTTAATCCTGTGTAATGAGGTGAGCACTCAAGAGACCAGGGATAGTCTCATTTGTGGAAAAATTCTGAAAGCAATCGCGTAACATCTTGAGTACAACATAAAAGCAAATAGAAATCCTGACAAAAATAATCAAATGGAGACCAGTGCAAACACAATTGCGTGAAAGAAAAAATTGAAAAGGGTGCAATAACTTAAATCAATGTGAGATGAAGGTACATACCCAGTAACAGAAGTTGGCTTTTAACAAATCCTTCGTTAAAAAAAATACATTCCGGTAAACAAAAAAATAGATTTCCGGTTATTATTGCACTCGTGTTTTAACAGATATAGATATGTATCAAACATCCATAACTCCACTCGGCCAAGCGGGTGAGCTGGCGGGTGCTGTGCTACAATAAAAGCGGACTGTGACGGAATCACCGATCTTGCTGATATTAGCCAATCAAATAAAGGGAGTGTCGCACCACGACTCGATCCAATTGTTGATTGCCAATGAATCAACATTTTCAAGAAGGCCACCCTATCAACTTTGAGTTACTGCCGGATCGGCTGAGCTGAATCGATACGACGATTAACCTCGATTGACGATCCAAAATGACCATATATGGGCAAAGACAACGCCCCTTCGGCCAACACCACGCCCTACTTCCATATACTTAGAAACGAGTTAGGTTCCAGAGGTCTGTTCGTAAGTCAATTTGTTGTAATTCCCACTCTACTCTTGTTGATTACAAACACGTTGTACGGCATGTACACTATACATGGGGAATGGCTTTAAAAGTTATAGAATCTCCTGTAGATTTAAATGCACACTTGGTTCTTCAGGTTCTTCAGATGTAGATGCCACCACCGCCGTCTATTGCATGGCGGTTGAACTCGCGACGCTCGGTCCGAGCAGGCAACTGGACATACGGACAGGGTTTTGTTCGTAGCTCTGAAAGTTCGGAAGTAGAGTCCCTGTATGGGCAAATCTCTGATCGCTGATTTCGTCGGGTGTCCGATTACATCGTATTACAGCACCGCGGTGGCGAGATTTTAACGACCTCGCCTTGTATACAGGAGGCCTTGGGTTTGATCCCAACCCTGACGTGACTTTGTTGAGTGATCATTTGTGGGCCAGGTCTCTTCTCAAATGAGCCTTGCCTGGTTAAATAGAAAATTGTTCAGTTTTAGTTTATCTGAGTCGAGGTGAGCTTAAGCTGGTGAGGTTCAGCCCCTGCGTGAGTAAAATTGCTAGTCAGTTGTGGTGAGGTGTGGTCAGGCGTGGTGAACCAGGTGCGGTGAGCGACACCCACGTGATTTGTGTGTGGTGAGAAATACCCATGTTAGACAGGTGTGGTGAGGGAGTATTCATGTTACTCCATTCTGGTGAGGTGTGCATCTCAGCTGCACCACTGACGCCTGTGTCCTGTTGCATGCACACTTATATACAAAACCAGGATTCCCCATGCAGCCTTTAAAAAAATGTTGGGGAAACTGCTGTGCACGAGCACCTACTAAGGCCGGAGGAGGTGGGTGGCCAGCACCGCTCCCGACCTGACCGCTGTTATCTCCCCAGCGTTGATGTTTACTTACCACACGAGGTGCTCATTTAAGGTTGACTCATCCGAGCAGAGAAGAGACGGGCCCAGGACTAGTCAGATATTCGTCACCAACGTTTGACTTGCGACCGGGAATTGAACCGGGATCACCAGGTTTTTATTGCAGCTCGCTGATCACTGTGCCACCGCTAACCACTGCGCTACCGCACGCGCCTACACATGCACGCATACACACACACACGCATACGTACGCACACTTACATGCACGCATGCACATATTCATACACGCATGCATATATTAATACACGCGTGCACACATGCATATACGCACACGCAGGAAGATCCGCGGGGAGGGGAAGAAGTGTCGCAAGGTGTACGGCATGGAAAACAAGGACATGTGGTGCACTGCCTGCCGTTGGAAGAAAGCCTGCCAGCGCTTCCTCGACTGAAATCTCACCTCCACAGCCCAGCCTAGCGCAGCCCGGCCCAGCCTAGCCTAGCCTAGCCCAGCCTAGCACCATCTGTCTCTTCGTCCCCACTTCTACAGAGATTCCCTGACCCCCCCCCCCCCCACCGTCTGCTATGGTGGTTTGGCCCATCACCCGTCAAGTGACTGGGGTCCCATCTCTGTGAATCGTCTGGAACTTCCGAATCGTCCTTCGTCAGTTTGCTCCGTCGTTTGGTGATGGAGGTGGTTGTTGGTGATGGTGGTGGTGATAGTGGTCAAGACACGGGCACGGTTTTTCCGCAAAGATGTTGGGTGAAGAGGGAAGGTATTAAGATCCGGCTGCGTGAGTGAAGTGGGGTTCCACACAGCTCGCGAGGACGAAGGTTGACATCGGGGGGGGGGGGGCACCTTCATTAACTCTGCGTGAATCTCGATGGTGGAAACCCTCCCAACGATGCAAACCGTCGGGAACGATCCACGCTCAATTTATTTTTTTCCCCCTTTTTATCTGCGACCGGCAGAATCGTAGAGGAACGGATGTGTCCCACGTGGGTAATGTGGAGCTGCGGAGCGTGGTTTTTTTCTGCCACGGTGGAAGGTGGCCCTCTGGCTCGTGTACACCTCGCACGAGCCGCCTGCGGTGGCATGAAAACCACTTGGAGGGATGGGGGGTGGGAGACATCGAATTTTGCAGATTGCCACGTGATAATGGGAGTTTCCATGTTCCTTATTCCAGCCTATGACTCGGACTAGTTCTTGATGAAGATTCAAAAATAATCGGCAAGATCCTTGCGCGACATTGACGGTGAGGGAGCAAATTTCTGTTTGAACAAAAAAAAATACGAACCCCGAGTTTTATTTCGGAAACTGCAACGTCGCACGCTTAGCGCTGTTTTAGACGCGAGAGGAAGTCGCAATTTGTGCAGGCAAACAAATGCGACCCAAAGCATTGCGCGACCACTCTCTCCGTTTTACCTTCCATACAGAGAAGTGTACGCATTCAGAACACGATAAAAATATGATAAACACTCTGTGGGATAAGTATTATAGGACGTTACGATCACAATACAACTCTGATTTATAAAGTAAGCTCTGCGATTCATATTCCTGCAGCTGACTAGGTAGGAACAGCCTCAGAACACGAAGACCCCTGTTGGTGGGGGAAGGCTTCCATTTGTACTCGTGACAGAACAAATATTATCACATGAGACTTGTGCTGTACCCTTCAAACTTGTAATCAAGAGTTCAGCTCACTCCAGAAGTCGTTAGAGCCCTAAACTGTTTTGAATCCGATCGTAGCAGCTTGTCCTTAATACGGCCAAAATCTTCCCTCTCTAGAGAGCATTATTTGACTCGCTTTTAAGACTTTTAATGATCCATTCATAAGAAAGTAAAGCCTGCTCCAGTGCACACAACTGCTCCTTTCCTCACTGAAATTAGACAACGGGAAAGCATTGGACTAGGTAGGAAATAAAAATTTTATTGGCCCCGTCATTCAAATTCTCACGAACTGAAATGGGAAAAAAAAATCTACACTTTTTTTTCGTTTTTTTAAACATGGAACATTGACACAAAAGTTACGTGCAGAATGACCAAAATGCACGTTGAAAGGGAAGTCTGACAAGGTGGAACAGTATTAGCACAGGTTTTGGCACAAACAAAAATAGCTGCCGGAGATGAAGATCCAGCGATCAAGACGTCATCGTGGCCAAAGCCGTCGATAGCCGCCGCCGCCACCACCACCACCTTTGCCAACACGCCTCACTACCAACAACCCTTTCACCCTGTCATAGATAGGTCCGCTTGCTGCGCAGGAGAGACGCGCAACCTCGATCTCTCAGATATGCCCGAACCAGTATCCCCCACTATCTGCTCTTGCGGTCTTCTCCTGGATCGCCGGACTTTGCGGAGACCACTTCCCAATTTTCCCCGACAAAGCTTGTCAATTCAATCAAGAGGTTGTCTCGGTACGGCTCAATTAGCACCATGGGGCCATGGCAGTGAACCCTGATGTGGGCCCTAGGCGCCTCCCCCTCATCACGACCATGCCCCCCACCACCTCTCGGCCTCCCAGAGTCCCTGGGGCCCTACTGCAAAATTTCCTCGGTGCGGTGACGTAACAACGAATACCGGCCCTTCACTGCAGTCGCCTGCATCTTCTGTCCATGCCGCTACGTCTGTAGAACCAGCAGCTAAATAATTTAGAGATGTGTAACTTTCACGGTTTACGTTCCACTCTCTCGGAGAGAGGGAGAGAGAGATGGAATGATTCTGAGTCGCGGGGATATTTACACAAAAGCAGCAGGGAAAGAGGCAGCCAACAAAGAAACCGGCGCCAACAATCGTCCCAAGCTCTGTATTGCTATATACTGGGACGATTGGCAAAATTCCATTCGTGAGTGCGCTTAAAGGGCACCACCGGCTGCTCGGGAAAACTTCACAACCAAATCTCGGCAGTTTGGGGGGAGTGGGAGCTTGGGACACTGGAGTCGTAGGGATATAATTTGGGTTTTTATTTGTGTCAAGACTAGAGAGGGGGAGGGGGGAGAAGATCAAACAAAAACTCATGTTAAACGTGGAGAGAAAAAAATCTTCCCCCACCACAAACCCACGAGACAAAAAAATAATTGACTGGAACTGTGCGTTTTGAGGAGTGTGCTGGAGATTGGGGATATTGGCGTGGAGAGTCCAGTCGACGTGGTGACTCAGCAGGGGAAGTGTAGACAGAGCAAAGTAGAATAACTTTGGGGGTGGCAGCGAGCGACGCATTGGTTGCAGCAAGAGCGGGGGCTAAAAGCGTCCCAAGGGGTCACGAAGACCCAGGGGATTGAAGGAGAAGAAGACGATGATGGTGATCCTGTTGATGGGACGTGCGCGATGGGGGGGACGTTAATGTGCCGGACGTGGGGTCGCTGGGGTTGCCACCTTTGAGCTACAAAAAGAAACCAGAGACATTTCATGGGAAGAAGAACAACAACAATTTCACCCAATACTGGAAGAGTGGAGAACTACATGTAAACGCATTGTCTCGAGTGGTATCTTATTAACGCAACCGACAAAAGGGCAGGACTTTGTTTATTAACGTCTGTTCCTCGGAGGGAAAGATTTTACAGATTGCCACAGTAACGGCTGGCTACCTTAAAACAAAATGGACAATCCTGGGAAATCTGGGACGTGTCGCAACCCCGTGGAGCCACGAGTTACACAGCTTGCCCGCCGTGGCGTGGGCCTCGAGAGTTGCACCACGTGCTTGCTGTCACGTGTCTCCTCTCACACGCCGTGAGTTTTACTCTCTCTGCCAATCTCCTTTTTATGCTCCTTCGATGTTGTGCTCTACTCTTCTCCCGGGCCCTCAAGGCTTCGTGATGGATTTGGGGCTAAGGTTTGAGAGGTGCTTTAAGAACAAACGACACGCTGCACTTAAATAAAAAATAATAGGGCAACTCATTTGTATAAAATACTACAGCGGTTTAAAATTATAAAAAAAACTGGTTTCAGCGAGACCATTTACATGTTTGGGTACTCGCTTGTTGGTGCACAATAGTGGTGTCTATCGCAGCCGGTAAAATGTTAAGGTAAAAAAAAGCATACACGTTAACGAGTAAGCATACAGTTACTTTCGTTAGGATGTTTTTTTTGTTATCTATTTACAAAGTGTTGAGTGAGTAGGGTGCTATATTTAATTACTTTTGCTAGCTGCCACACAAGGGCTGAGTTTAGGAGGTTTAAAGCAGGGCACCCACCGCCATCCACTTTTTTGCTGGGGAGGAGATGATGATGATGATGATTGTTGAGACGTGAATGTCCGGAGACGTGGCCAGTAAACTTTACCCGTGCAATGAGAGCAAGTCGCGGGAGAATGGTTGGTGGTCGCTACTTTTGCGCATTGAGCAAGGGCCGGATTTATGGTGGAGGGATGAACGGGCACAAATTAACCAGGGGCTCTTAAGCAGCGTATAAATATAATGATAAATAAACTCACAAACAGCGAGTATTCTTCCGCCCCCCACCCCACCCCAGTCTCTGCCAATCTCTTTGCTCCAATCAGATGCGGTTTCCTTAGATAATGGGGGTACCTTCCACCCTTGACTGCCTTGTGGGGGGGGGGGGGGCAAGGCTTTGTGATATCGTCCTCTTGATACGACTGATTATAGGGAACGCCGCCCCGTGGTGCGTATCGGTTGGCATGCTGGATTTGCAATCCAGAGGTCGCCGGTTATGTTAAATCTCGCGGCCACGGAATTGGAAGCAGTGCGGATTTTTTTTTTAAATATAAAAATCTGCTCTCTCCCGCCCCACACCCCTACACCATCCTCCGTCCACCCATCAGTATAAAACGGGTACATCACAAGTTAGTCGGTCGGCAGGTCGTGAGCGGTGGGAGTAAAGTGTGGGTGTACTACCTCTTCGGAGAGAGACGTGTATGGCCGGCGTGGAAGAGTCGGCCAAAATTCCCCACTGAGCAAGTTGGTTCCCGAACCCTTTTTCTGGACACGTTGGGTGGCAGTGTCAACAACTCCCAAAAAAATTCGCGGGACCGCCATGCGGTAAACAACAGCAAAAAAAATCATCTGGTGGTGGGAAAATGTTTTTGTATCTGAAACGGGTCGCCCTGAACCACTTGCCCCCCACGCGGCCTTGTGGCTTGTGGGCCGTCTCGAACGGACTCGAGAGCTCCCTCTAGTGAAGGCATTTCGGTCAGCATTGGCGCGAGCAGGCAAAGTGCAGGGCTATCGCACCGTGACGAACAACTTTTATAAAATGCCCACCCCGATTGTCGTTTCACTGGGTCGTGGTCACATAATTGGCAAGTGTTTGGCCGTGGTACGCTTCCACCACCCGACGTAGCCAAACTAATCGATGCGTCACGCGTGCAAGCGTTTTAACGCGTAAATTCTTGTTGTTTCCGTCTTCCCCCGGTGAGTTGAAGCATTGTCACAACCAGTGTCGGCGATTGGATACGCGACGTTTCATTCTGACTTGCTGGTTACCATGTCCTGAAGATGCGTGACGCAAGTGTCGGGGGCTAACGTCCGTTTATCTACTTTCAAAACTTGCCCATAAAGGTTTTTGGGGTTGGATTGCATAAATATAAATGCGTCATACCCGCCACCGCCCGACACAGCCAATTAGCTAAGGTTTTCCACGTAAACAAAACACGCCAAATAGTTGCTCGTTCAGCACTAACCGATTGTGTGTTTAAGAGTAAACCCACACCGGTGTGCTGAACTAGTAACTAATTGGCACCTTTTGTTTACGTGACAAACCCTACTAATTGGCCGTGTCGGGTGGTGGCGGGTTTAACGACACATTTATATGTATACACTCTAACACCCAAAAAGCCTCTTGTGGATAATATTGGTCGCGAAAGCCTGCGTGTTTAACTTCCCAAACTTGTTTGTGACAATTGTTCCTAAACTCCCCGGTGTGAGTTTAGCTGAAGCAGCGATCGACACTTTGTTGAACACTTTGTAACAAGTATCAACTTGTTTGGCTGTGTCGGGGGGCCAGATCATTGCGTGGCCTAACCCGAAATACCAATTGCAAATCGTAACATTGGCTACGAAAAGCTAGGTCTGATCATTTGGTCGTGCTATATGGTGGGCGCCATGGTGGCGAGATGTTAACTACCTCTCCTGGTACAAAGGAGGGTCGTGGGTTCGATCCCGCACCCTGACGCCTGCTGTAAATGTGGAGGTTGCATATTCACTGCCCTTGGTCGCGTGGATTTTTCTCCCAGTCTTCTGGTTTTTCCCCTCCACATTTAGAAATGACATCGCGCGTTCAGATTATTTGACTGCTATAACTTCCACGCGATGATGATGATTTCAGCCACTTTGGTTGAGCAATCATTTCTGATAGCCAGGCCGCTTCTGAACAAAAAGCTACATAGCTCAGTGGGGAGTCTTACCCGGCAAAATAAACGATATTTTATATCGTTGATGTTAAGAGGACGTCATCCGACATCGCCTTCTGGGTCTATTGGGGCATTTGCTCACACAACACCACGGATCTCTCTTGGGAAAATAGCCAGGAAACTAGGGGTGGGGGGGGGGCTGTGGTGGTGGGGGGGGCAGAGATCCCTAAATCCGGCCCTGCCAAGCGAGTGACTGGCAGAACGGCGACGCCACTTCCGCGACACGATGCCAAATATTTCACAGCGGGGAAGTCCAACTCTCTCGGTTCGCAGACTCAGGAGCGGGGGGAAGGGTTAAACAAAAGTGGCATTTTGTGGTGTAACGACAGGAGCTGACTTTGTTTTTTTCGTGTTTGAAAAGGATGAAAAGTTGAAAGTTTAAACGGTGAACATTTTGTCGCGAGCGAGGCCCAGCAAGCGGCTGAAACGTCGAGGTGCTTTTCCAATGTCGAGTTACGTCGTACACACGGCGTGGTTAATACAACAAAAGTAAAATTGTGAATTAATTACTACAATAGTAAAAAAAAATCGTTCATACAACTGCGCAGGGTTTATTTTTTTTTCACGGTTGTGCCGATGTTTTTTTTTTGCGGGGATGTACGGCCCGCCCGTTTCGGTCCGGCGTCTTGTCCCGACGTTTCGCTCCCACGTCCTTCATTGGGGGGTGGGGGGGGGGGGTTCCGGGGAGGTTTGCCCGCAAACTGAATTTTTTAGTTGCTGATGCTCTTGAACAAGGCTCCCAAAGCACGTGGGGGCGAAAAGTCGGGCTTCGTGCCGAAACGGGCCCAAAGACCCCTCAACAAAAGCGCGTCGGGAGAGAGAGATCGCAGCTAACTGGACTTCAAACTTCACGCCCACGTGCGAACGTCATCCTCGCCGCGCAAACTTTCAGCCGTTGTAACTTCACCTTTTTATCCCCACAAGTCGCTTGTTGGAGAGTTGGTTCTCAATCGAGCCTCTCGCTCGCTCGTTCACTCTGTTGGCTCTGCTATGAATGTTCATCGTTGCGGCGATAATAATGGTGGTGAGTGTTATTTTTTTAAAGGGTTCCCGGTGGTGGCAGTAGAGTTTGTGAGTCGATTGACGGGTGGGAGGGGCCGGTGGGGGTGATGGTATCCCCCACCCACATCACCTGTCCACTGCCAATCCATCACAGGGGACCCACCCACCCCGTATGTGACACGTGGAAACATGCAACGAACGTGTATGGCAGCACCACCGCTCCCCCCCCCCCCCCCCACTGGCTCCCCTTTACAGACGCAGGCGTTGTCCATGGTGGTGAGGTGGTGGGGGGGGATTCCTTCGACCGTGTGTACTCCAGCACGTGGTACACAACTACACTGTGGATAGTTTAATGGGTGTCTTGTAAAGAAAAAACTGCGGAAAAATTCGATAACCCACAAAAGTTAATTGTAAAGTTAGCATTGAGATGGGTTTAAGTGGGTGGCGAAGGGGGGTAAGTATTGATCACGTTGGAGTCGTCGGGGGGGGGGGGGGTGTGGAGATTATTCAATTAATATTGACATGGTTTTTCAATAGGTGGTCAATCGTTTCAGTGAAACCAGGTGGGGTGGGTTATTAATAACTAAAGTAGCGTGAAACACACAAAAGCACGAGTTTTGAGAAATTGGGCACACCGGGTCACTCGCCAACGAGAACTCTGCCGCTCTCAACCTGGTTGAACAAATTCAGCCAGCGTGACACTTGGATCGTCTTCACGAGAGTTTCCGTGTCCCGAGCCTCACGCGCTGCGCTACACGGGAGAGGCGGCGGGCTACGGACAGAGGTGCTGCTTCGTTTAACAAAAACAAAAATCAACGCTGGGTTGCCGGGGTGCGTCAGTGACGAGCCGGTGTTGTCGAAAAAGATACTTGCGGGTTATCGAGTTTATTGAAACCATACGTGTGGGTTACCGAGTTTTTTCTTTATCTCTATCGCCAGCTAACACCCCCCCCCCCCTCAATGATTCCCCTCATCAAAAGCGTGGCCTGCCTGAGGAAAATGCTTGTCCGAACGTGTTTGTGATATCGCTTTGATTTGTCACAGGAACGCACTTGAGATGATGGTCGTGAAGTGCACGACTCCCGCGGGGTATTCCAAACTCCAGTACTCGCGTCTTTCCGCGACTATCACCCGACTCCTCCCGTTCGGATACAAATGCAATTCGTTTCGCGCTTCCGGCGCCCGATGATTGTTAAACACGTCCCATGTGACGCGTAATTTGCGCTGCCCTCCGTCGTGTGGAACACGTGCGTGCACACACAAATCACGTGTACACACACACACACTGAACACGTGTACACACAAGATGTATACACACGAGACACGTGTACACGCACACATACATTGAACACGTGTACACACGCACACCGAAAATGTCAACCTTCATTTGAATCGGCTCTGACCGCAGTGCCGCGTGGAACTTGTTTAACAATCATCGGGCACGTGCAGCGCGCGACGAGTTGAATGGGAGGAGTCGTTTGGTAAAGGCGGAAAGACGCAGCGCGTTGGTGATGGTGGTTGTGGTGGTGGTGGTGGGCCGCGAGGACTGGAGTTTGGCAAACCGTACGTACGTGCTTACGTAGCGAAAACGATGATTTCTGAGATGTTTATGGGGGGCGTAGGGTGGGTGCCCGTAGTTCATCACGAGTGCTCGGTGCTTTAATCATTCAGCGGCCGCGTCGTTTGCACGGGAGGCCGCGATCAGAAGTGTCGATTGACTTGTCGCGTGGAAAATCAATCCACCCCCCCGTGCTACACGCCCGCCGTCCCGTTTGCAAAAACAACAAACGACAAGTGCTTGCGGCGGATTCACTGCCGTCGGCGGTTTGAATTGAATTCAAACAAAACGCATGCGCTTGGATCGATCCTTCAAGTGCAACCCCACACTTGTTCTAAACGATGAGACCCCCCCCCCCCCCCCATTCACAACAGGGGAGGGAAATCCCAGGGCCAGGAGCTTTGCTTTGCGGTGGGCCGCCCTTGCAAAAAAGAGAGAGAGAGATGCCCTCCGTATAGCCCGACGGGCCGTACATTCGCGCGAAAACATTACAAAGTCCTGCGTCTTGACGTGAATATTTAACGACGCGAAAAGCTCCGCTTCTCACAAAACTCGCACGGTGCTGCCTTGCCTGCATGCCCATGCGACCAGCTCCACATTGCCTGTTACAAGACGGTTCTCTGCCTCGTCTCTAGACCACCAAACTCAACGCGCGCTGTTGGTGGTGTAATCATCCACAACAATAATGGAGATGATACAGCCTCATTCGGCTCTCTCTCTTCCAGTTTCTTTTGAAATGCCTTTGGCCCGCCAAATGTATTTTAAATTTCTGGTCGGCCTTCAGTAAGGGGAAGGGTTCCCCCATCCACCCCTGGTTTAAGGTTTATGAAAGTACAAAG